TGAGATAGGGTCTCACTAACTATTTGCTTGGGTTGGCTTCGAACCACAATCCTCCTGATCTCTGTCTCCTGAGTAGCTAGCACTACAGGTGTGAGCCACCAGTGCCTGGCTTGGTTTTTACTTCTATTCTATTTCTTGATGTATTTAAAACTTTTTGAAGCAATTTTAACAAATCCCATAGAAAGACTTCCCATATATCCTTTACCCAATATTCTGTAATGTTAAGATCTAACATTTATCAAAACTAAGGAATTAACAGTGGCACCCTACTACCAACTAAACTATGGGCTTTATTTGCTATACTGGGGATTGATCCCAGGTTCTAATGCTTTTTTTGGCACAGGGGATTGAACTGAGAGCCTTGCACTTGCTAGGCAAGCTCTTGAGCTAAGTTCTAAATCCTTTCATTTTGGTTTTGAGATGGGGTGTCATTAACTTTGCCCGGGGCTGGCCTCAAACTTGTGGTTCTCCTGCCTCCGCCTCTCCAGTAACTAAGATCACATGCACCACCACATCTGATTTACAGGCTATATTTGGATTTCACCTTTATCCCCTCTCCTTCATCTAATGTCCTTTTTCTTTTCTGGGAGCTAATCTGGAATTTTACATTGCATTTGATGGTCATTTCTCCTTAATCTCCAATCTGTGACAGTTCTCAGTCTTCCAGCTGTTTTGTCCCTGTGTAAGAATGGTGTGGCATGGCATGGGGAATCAGAGGGAATGATGCGGCAAAGCTGGTTTGGAGACAGGTGAGGAAATAGGGTTAGCTTTGGGCAGGGGGAGTTTTTTAAAGGGCAGTGTGCCCATTGCAGTGGTCACTGCTATCCAAGGGACTTTCCTAGAGATCAATATGCCCTGGACCTGGTGCAGAAGAGGAACTGCAAGCCCTGCTCATCCCTTGTAGGCAGGGGAAAGGGCAGAAGTGACAGGTCCTGGAAACTTTGGACACTGCGCCATGTGGCATAACCCCAGGGCTGTTCTACCTGTTTTGTGCCACCGTCTCCTGTGATAGTCCCTTGAACAGCAGGTTAATCTCTGTTTGGACCATTATGGTCCTGTAACTTTGGGAAAGGAAGACATAGGGTAGGGAGCTGTAAGGGGTTTGAGAGGCTGTTGGTGATCAGGGAAGAGGGGGCAGTTGATGCAGAAGTCACAAACTACTAGCCTGAGGAATGAAACTGGTTCTACTGTATTTTTAAGCACTTGAGCCAACATTTAAAGATTGGGAGTTTTCACACAAAACTCTATGCGTTAATCAGCTTTTCATTACTTAGCAAAATATCTGAGATAATCAACATAGGGTTTGAATAGGAACTGTCCCCCACAGCCTCTGGTGTTGAATACTTGGTTCTCAGCTGGTGGTTGTGTTTTGGGAGGTGCTAAAAACTTGGGAGGAGGTAGGTCACTGGGGCATGCTTTTGAAGTTTACACCTGGTCCTGCTTCCTTCCTTGCTTTCTGCTCCCTGTCCATCATGAAGTGAGTAACCAGTGCTCCCCCTGCCATGATGTTCTGCCTCATCAGTGGCCCAGAATCAACAGAGCTGGCCGCGATGAAAACTGTGAAATAAATCTTAGCTCCTTTAACTGTTCTCTCGGGTATTTGATCATAGTTATGTAAAAGTAACTAATACATCAACTTAAAAAGAGGAAAAGTTGATTTGAGCTCACAGATTGGGGGTTAAAACCCCCAATGGTACATGGTTGGTGGCCCTATTTCTTTTAAACCTGTCATGAGACAGTGAGAGTCCATGATGAAGAAAGCTATCACCGCCTGGTGGCCAGGAAACAGAGAGAGCAGAAGAGGAGGGATTAGGGTCCCAGTATCCTCTTCAAGGGCATGCCCCAAATGACCTAACTTCCTTCTACTAGGCCCCACCCCTAAAGGTTCTACCACCTCTCAATAACACCACAGGATGGAAGCCAAGCTTTTATCACATGGGCCTTTGGGGGACATTCAAGATCCAAATACTAGCACTCTGCATTTCTGATTTCTCTTGTGAAAATCAAACAGAGTTGGTGGCCAAGCATGGGTGTGGTAGCACATGCCTATCAAATACTGGAGAGGCTGAGACAGGATTGTAAGTTAAAGGCCAGCCCTGAGTTACGTAGTGAGACCCTGTCAAGAGAAAGGGAAAGAAAGAAGGAGGAGGACAAGAGGGGAGAGAGGAAAAGAAAGAATGAGAGGAAGGAAGGGAGGAAGGGAAGAATGAAGAAAGGATGGAAGGGTGGGAGAGAGGAAGGAAGGAAGGAAGAGTTGGCAATTCTGCCACAGCACCAACTGGTTAAAACTAGGTAGAGATACCCAATTGATGGGGGCTGTGTCCAGTTTCGTAGTCACATACTCAATATTTTGCCTGAAGGCAGAAGGTCACTTGTACTTGCTGTTTTCCTTTCTGTTGAAAATGTTTTTCTCCTGGTTCCTCAGACTCCTGAATGCACTGGGATAGTGTTCATTTAAAGTGCAGGCAAACTGGAGAGGAAGGGGTTACCCCAGTGGGTGTGAGGGGTTCAAGTGTCCCAGGAAGCACTGACTAGGAGTCTGAAATGGGGGTGTGCAGTCAGCCTTGAAGGAAGGGGGAGGGGAAGAACCACTGATAAGCTGAGGAGGGAGGGGAGGGCTCTCATATCACTGCTTAGGAAAGTTCTCTGGGTGGAATAGCTGAGAATAGACTAGGACTTAGGAGGCAGAGGGAAGATGGTTTCATTTTTATTCAGAATCTAAATAATCTATAGCTTACTTTCTTCAGCTCCTGAGCATGGCAGGGACAACTCTGAGGGTTTTCAGGCTTGTCTGGGTAGTAGAAGACACAAATGGGGATCAAAAATGTCCCTGTTCTCAGATCAGGACATTTGTACTGGTTCAAGGGTCCAGCTCCTTCCTCCTGGGTTGGCGCTAGGTCTGGAACTCTTTTCTTGCCCCATTCTGTCCCTTAAAATTACCTCACAAGAAGGCATGTGGTTGGCTTTAACTTTAGCCCTCATCATCCAAGTGCAGGGCCCCACAGGGACACTTAAAAGTTGATTGTAAAGATGGATGAGGGGTTTGAAGAAAAGGTGAGCCCTACTTGCTAGTTTGTGTAAAAAGAAAAAGTAGTTTGCTTGGATTTGCCTTCAGGAGAGGACTCCTCCCCAACCCCTTCTCTGGGGCATATAATCCTGGTGTCTGGGCTAATGAACCACAGAGTGGAAATTTGGCTGAGCAGAGAGGAGGAGGCCTGCAGGGAAAAGAGGGAGAAATGAGGTCATCTTTGCTACAGATGGCCCAGGGAAAGAAGGGGGAAGAAGAGGAACTATGGGCTATGGGGTGCCCCTTGAGCTGCTGGGTGTGGCCTGCCCCAGCAAGGGTCATTAGGTGTCCAGTGAAACCCTCTTGCCCAGGGGGAACATAGGCCCTCTATACTTCTCAAGTAGAGGATGAGGATGAGCCAGATGAGGGCCAGTGTGCTCCCAGCTCTTTCTATTTCTTGAGCTCTTCATCCTTTGGCTGGTAGGATAAATTCTCCCTCTCTAAATCAGGTATTCTATAGGAGGCAGGTTGATCAGCTGTAACTTGTGAACCCATGTGTCTCTCTGGAGAAAGAAAATCCTGCATGTGAGTCTGCTCGTTCTGCCCAACTTGGGGGCACCTTCATTTCCAAAGGAGGTCAAGAAGTCAGTTTCTTCACTGGAAACACAAAACACAGGCCTTGGAATCAGCTCCCAGGAAAGGGCAGTTCTTGTGTCGCAGAGCAAAGCCAAGGGCAATGTGTGGCAGAAAGAGTGGTTAATATGTCCCATCTCTCCACCAAACTCCCTACTCAGAACACAGCAAGGCAGTTTTCCAATCATGTAGTCCATGCATGAGGAGTAAATAAATTTATCTCACACCTTCCCCTGGCTGCCAGGGTTTCAACGAGATAAAGGGCCAGATGGGTTGACAAGGGGGCTGCTATGCCAGGGTCCATCCAGCTGTTGGTCTCATATTGCTCAATGGGCCTGTCTATGTGCAGGAGGTGTCCCCTTGCTGCCAACAAAGAAAAGATCAAGGGCATAGAACCTGGATTCATCTCAGATCCATGTCCTTTTTATTTTTCAGCCAATGTGGGTTTTGACACTGCTAGCTGTTTACTAGCAAGGAATGACTGAAAGGGCATAAAGGAATGGACAACTCAGAAGGAGCCCCAGCACTCCTGAGCACAGCTGTGACCCTGACTCACTTGGAGAGGGTGAGTAGAATGAACATCCCGTTCTGTTTGTGCTTGAGGTGAACCTGCCTCTCTCCCCTGGCCCAGGTGAGGCATACATACAAGCCCCTGCACCTGTGTAATAGCATACCCTGACTTCCTAGCAGTTATGCAAAAAAGACAAAAAAAAAAAAAAAACAAAACAGATCAGCAGCCCTTGCTAAAACCAAAAAGGTACTAGTCAACTGACTGTCAGGTGGATGCTGAATGAGGGGACAAAAGAAAGGCTGAAGCTGGGGCCACCCAGGGTCTTTTCTTGGGAAAAGCTGGCCTCCCAGGCCTCTAGCTGCCAGGCTTTCTGAGGAATGTGCTTGGTTCTCACTCAGGAAGATACTTGGCTTTTGGGGAGCTGTGTTTTCTGCAGACTGAGCCATCTGTGCAGGACCAAGGCCCCTCCACCCTTCTCTCCAAGTTTCTTGCTAATGGTCTATGAGGCCAAAGCCCTTCTCTAGGGCTGGGGAGGTGAGTGCAGGAGTTAGCATGCAAGCTGAGGAAATGCCACTATGATCTGCCTCTATGGCACCTGCTCTGTGGTGGAAGCAGTACTGGCTAATAGAAGAAAAAAGCATAAACACTTGTATTGGTCTTGGCCTCTGGAGGCCCTGGAGGTGTTCTGAGGATTCTTGCTGGTGTTGTGAGGCACATGTAGCCACAACCACTTTTGGGCTATAGCCTGAATTTGCCAAGGTCCAAGAGGGTAGGGTTTCTGAGAGCCTCTGGCTTTTTTTCCAAGCCCCCATAAGGTAAAAGACAAAGGAAGCCCAACTGCCAAGGAGCAGACATTGCCTCAGGCAACTAAATTTATTAGCAAGAAAGAAAAATTTTTGTCAGCCCAGCACTGACCAACAAAGTACATTGTTAATAAAGGATAACAAATCTGTCACTTAATTCATAAAACATACCTCAAGCAGTTACAACTAAAAATAAAGTTGGATTTTTAATTTAAAAGCCTCAAAAATAACAAGCAATATGTTTTTTAAAACTTGTCGTAGACACAATAGTCTATTATACAATATACACTGTACACAGAGCTTGGGCAGTTGGGGCAGCAAGATGAGTGGGGAGGAAGAGGGTCAGGATGGGAGATGAAGCTAGATCTGAGTTGAAATGCTGTGTCACTTAGAAAAGAGAATTGCTAGAGTGTGGGGGAAAAATATTCATATGCTCATCATTGCCCCCCAAACCCTAAACTGAAAGCAGGCATGGGGAGGTGACTACCAAGGAAAGGAAGAAGGGAGCAATTAAATAAAACTTCTTTAAAGCGCACACATACACAGTGTTCATCATCTGAAGTAGAGAGTATAAGGCAACGTTCTCCATAGAAAAAGGGGAGCAGGGAGGAGTCCGTGGGCATCTGACCTTTGAAATAGGAAGTTGGAATGTCTGGAGGAGAGCCGTGGTGGGGCTGGGCAGTGGAGTGGAGACGGCCTCCTGAACCTCTGCAGAAGAGGGTGCCAGTGGGAGACTGGGTGCAGGGCCCCAGGAGGGGTGCATGGCACGATGGGACTCCGGCAGTGCTGGGAGTGTTGGGGCAGAGAGTGGGGCAGGGCGGGGCTCACTTTGCTCCTCGACGGAGTGAAATGCATGTTTTTCCTTTGGAAATAAGGGTTCCCACGCGTCCTGGTTTAGAACGTCTCATTGGGCATGGCCAGTGTCCATGGTCTGGGCAAGCCAGGAGCTTGTGGTGAGAAGGGAAGGGCCAGGGCAGAGCTGAGGGGCTTCAGAAGAAGGAAAGCACAGGGAGCAGAGCCCCTTCCTGTGGGGACATAGCCGCAGAGGAGACTGGTATGAAGGCAGGCCCAGGGCAACCATGGGCACCTGTCTGCCAGGGGCCCCGGCCACACAGATCGGGGATTGCACCTTCAGGGCCTCCCACCTCAGTTGGCCTTACAAGTTCTTCGTGACCAGGTGGGTCTTGTAATGCTTGGTGAGGTGGTCACTCCTCATGAAGCGCTTCTGACACTGGGCGCATTCAAAGCGTTTGTCACCTGGAAAGAGGCGATGCCTGTCACCCACCGAGCCCCTGCACAGACACTGTCACCTCCCCAAAAAAGGAGGAACACACGTGAGGGGCCCCCAGTAAAGCCAATTTGGCCTTGTCTCCATATCCTGTCTACCTCCTGAATACAGGTTTCTTCCCTATCATCTATTGAACTAGACTAGTCAATTCTCATTTCTCTGTACCATCTGACCTCTCCAGTCTTTGTTCCAGTTGCTTGTCCCTACTTATGTTTGAGCCCCTGTACCTAGCAGTCTTCCCATGGAGGGCTGTTCACCTGCTTTGTTCTGATCTGTGTCTCTCAGACTTTATAAGCGGACCAGTGTCTTCCCCTGGTAGGAAAACCCCACTGCACTCTTGACCTTGCCAACCCTGAGCATGTGCTGAGTCCAAACCACACTAAGCCAGGCTGTCGAGCAGTGTTTACTCTTCTACTTTAGAGGGGGTATGACCTGTCCCACCATGCTGCCCTGGAACCACCCCAGTCCCAGGACAGGGGCCTCTGCTCCATGGAGCACTCACTACAACAGTGTGTGCCAAAGTGTGTGCTATATGGATCACCGGGTATGCTCAAGACAACTTCAGGTGGTAGATGAACGTTTTTCTACAGTTTTCCATTTATTTTCCAGTACATTAAAATATATAACTATGATAGAAAAATGACATTACTTAGGACATAAATGAGTAAGAAAAAAGAATTTAAGAAAATCATTAGGGAGACAACTGTAGGAGGGAAGCACGGGACACTGATTAACAATGGACATTGTCTCAAGTGGTAGAGCGCCTGCCTAGCAAGTACAAAGCCTTGAATTCAAACCCCAATACCACCAAAAAAAAAAAGAATGTAGACTTGGGAGCCAAGGGGCCTGGGTTGGAACCCAGCTCTGCCAACTAGCTGTGTGATCTGGCCACCTCTCTCTCTCTCTCTCTTTTTTTTAAGCCCTTTTTTGTGATGGGTATTTTTGAGATAGGGTCTTGTGAACTATTTGCCTGGGCTGGCTTTGAACTGCAAGCCTCTTGATCTCTGCCCCGAGTAGCTACGATTACAGGTGTGAGTCACCGGCATCCAACCTGGCCACCTCTCCATGCTTCAGTAAAATGGGCATACTTGAAGTGCCACTAGAGTCCTTACCAGGAATTCAGGTAATCTGTAAATGCTTAACACAGTGCCTGGCATACTATGTCAGTGCTTGTTAAATAATAGTTCTGTGAAGATGGAAGAGGTCATCAAATCATGTGATGTGAGGACATGACTTTGGGGAACACTGTGATAAAGAAATGGCTTGAAAGAATTCCCCAGATAATATGGACATCAGTGGACTTGCTAAGTATGGCAGGCCAGGAGTGATGATGTACGGAAGCCAACAGAGAGGGGCTGAGGGGGGAACTGACCTGTGTGGGTGCGAGCATGCCTCTGGAGCTCGTCACTTCTTGTGAACCTCTTCCCACAGAAGAACCAGTTGCAGACGAAGGGCCGCTCACCAGTGTGCAGGCGCACATGGGCCCGCAGTAAGGATGTCTTCCGGAAGGTCTTGCCACAATCAGGGATGTGGCATACATGCTTCTTCTTGCCCTGCTCTCCAGACCTGAGGATTGTGTGGAGGGAATAGGAAGAGGAGAGAGAGACAGTAGAAGATAGGGCAGGAACAGCATGGAGAAAGGATGTGGAGGTCAGGTCAGAGAGCACAGAAAAGACAGGAGGCATGGAGCTATCTGCTACCCTCTTAGTCTAGGCTGGCTTGAAGCCCCAGGCAGCTGCCCGTGGAAGGAACAGGGCACATGCCAGTCTGCTGGTCTGGCCCCAATTCTTGAATTACCTCTTCTCCCCGTCCTTGCAATTGGGACACGTGCAGGCCATGCGGCGTCGTTTCTCCCCCGGCTGGGCCTCTCCGGCCAGGGCCTGCTCCATCTGCAGCTGGATCTGGGTGGGACTCAGCCCACTGATGGTCAGGTTGTTTCCAGAAACATTCTGCACTGTCAACTGCTGCTGCCCTGTGGGAAAGAAAAGAGAGGAAGCCTGAAACCTCGGGTCAATCCTCTTCCCTTCTGCACATGATAAGGATAATCATGGCAGCTAATATTTTTGAGAGCCATGGACAGACTCATAATAGGTACTGTTATCCCCATTTTACAGATGAGGAAACTGAGGTTCATTACCATATCAAGGTCACACAATAAGTAGTAGAACCAGGCTCTGAACCCAGGTTCAGTCAGTGCCCTGGATCATTACATTTCACAGGCAGAATTCATTTGAAGATGTGGCTTACATGATTTCAGTTGGGAAGGGTCCTGTCTGGGTTTGTTTTGGAACATTCTTCCTGAATTTCCTCCAGCCTCAGGCCCTTGTGAGATACCAACTCCACTTTCAGGAAAGTCTCCAAGGACTTTTGTTCATAAGAGTGAGAAAACAGTTCTAAGAACTTTGGGGAAAATTAAGAAGTCTTCCTGGTCAGTTTGTGCTCTTTCCTCTTGGGATCCCAAGTGGGAAAACTGAAGGCTTAAAGTGCTATAAATTCATCCAGAAGAGAGGAGTTTCAGAGAGCTCCGCTACCTTGAAAATTGTCCATCACCCAAGTACAGAATGCAAAGAACCACTTTTGCTAGGTAACTCCAATTTTTCTTATTTTCAAGACTGCTTTCACAGCATAAATATCACCAGTGAATTAATGTGCAGCACAAGCTAGTGCCACTGTCAAGGGAGCCTAACCTCTAACAATCTTCCTTGACTTCTTCACCCACAGCTTCCCTTAACATCTGTCCTTGATCAGGACCAAATTAATTTGTGTTTGTTATTTGAAAAGTTTTCCTGAGCACCTCTATTTTCTCCATCATATTCAAGGTCTGCACTGTCAGATGGAGACAATATGTTTACTATGTCAAGTGCTACTTAAGGGAAGATATGTGTGGGCATGCTCTTAGGCTGGAGGGGATCAGGCAAATGATGGTCAGCATCCTCCCTGCTGTTACTGGGAATCCCCAGGTTGGCCCACAAGTCCCAGGTGCTAGGCACACAACCCCATTGCCAGCATCCTGGTCCCAGACCTTCCCTCACCGCCAGTGTTGGTGATGGTGACAGGCACACCCTGGACCTGAACACCATTGATGTTGATGGTCTGCATGGCCTGGGCAGCTGCTGCCAGCTGTGCCGCATTCAGGCTGATGATGCTCCCCGCGGGTGCAATCTTTGGCAGGGGACGCTCTTTTCGGAGAATTGCAGCTGAGTGCTTTTTGCTGGTCCCACTCAGATGGGCAGCGCGGGGTGCAGGGCTGCTACAGGTGGTGGTTGAGGTGGTTGCAGCTGTGGCTGGGGGGCTGTCCTGAACAAGGACAGTCTGCACTTCACCAGAAGGTGTGCGGATGTAAACCTGATGGGACGAGAGAGAAGAAATGACTTTCCTGGAGAGATGGTGTCTGCATTTTCAAGTTTCAGCCCAGGGAGAATGGGGCACCTCTGTCAGCCCCAGGCTGACCTACCCAAGCCTACATTCGTACACTGCTGGTGTTCAACAAGGGCTGATGGCCTTCCTGTACTAAGCTGGCTACTGATCTGAAACCAAACCTTTAATTTACTTAGCATAGACAAAAATAATTGCCAAATCTCAGAATTAATGAATTAGAAGACAGTGCACTATGAATGACCATCAAACAAATAAAAACAGACTCCTATTGGTCCTTAAGTCATGGATTAATGAGAAATAATTTTTCTTCAATTTGGACTGGCAAAGATTGAAAAATAAAATATAAGCCTTATTGTTGAGATAGCAGGAGACAGATACTCACTCATACATTAGGAACGGGATAGCCTTGCTACTGGGAAATTTGGGGATGAGAATCAAAAGTCTTAAAAATAGGCTGGGGGCCAATGGCTCATGCCTATAATGCTAGCTACTCAGGAGGCAGTCCCTGGGGAATAGTCCTCAAGACTATCTCAAAAATAACCTTTCGCAAAAGGCTAGCGGAGTGGCTCAAGTTATACGCCCTGAGTTTTAGCCTCAGAACACACACACACACACACACACAGATACCTTAACAAAGAGGGAAAGTAGGAAATCTCCATATTACAATTTGCCCCCTTCTAAAAATATGAACTTATTATAAGATGAAATTTTAAATTAAAAAAATCACACTAAAAGACACTAACACAAGTGTGAAAAAGTCTGAGGAATCAGATTTTTAAGATGGTGTGGTGGTACATGCTTATAATCCCAGCACTCTGGAGGTTGAAGCAGGAAGATCATGAGTTGGAGGGAAACATATAGCAAGACACTAACTCAACAAAAAAAAAAAAAAGAAAAAAGGAGGAGGAACAGGATATTTATATCATCCCAAAAAAATCTCCCTTCAAAAAACCAATAAATTACAAAGAAGAAAACTAAGGTGCAAAAACCTGCCACACACCACCATAACCATAGCCAGTAAGGAGACAAATGGAATCCTATCCTGCCTTTTAGAATCAGTGAGAACACAGCATTCACTGTGATAGTTCTACAAAAATATGCATAATTTGGTGGGCATGGTGGTGCTAGCCTGTAATCCCAGCACTCAGGAGGCAGAGGCAGGAGGATCATGAGTTTAAGTCTAACTAGAGCTACAAAGTGAGACCCTGTCTCAAAAAACAAAACAAAACATTAAAACCATGCATTATTGCATTTATTCATGGAGGAAATGTTACAAGAACCCAAACTGAGGAACACTCTGCAAAATAATTAGCCCAAAATCTTCAAAAGTCTTGAAACTCAGGAAAGGAATGAAGAAAATAAAGAGAAGTTTCAGATCAAGAGACTGAGAAATGATGTCTACATATATGGTACACAACCGGATCAACTCCTTTTGAGGCAGGATAGATAGATGAGGAGACAGGGAAATTACATTTTAATCATATTTAAAGGGCCAGACTCTGACTTTGGAACAGGGAGAGCCACAGCAGCTGGCCCCCTCCCATCTCTTTTTAGGTACTACATTATAAGAACTGGGAGACAAAGAGGAGCTACCTGCTTCTTTCCTCTTTGAAATGTTAGGAGCTGCAGGGATCCTTGGATGGGTGGAGAATAACCATGTCTAGGAAAGGGAAGTTCTAAAGCATCCTACTGTTTCTGATTTGGGGTGTGATTTGAGAAGGTGACCCCTCCCTGTCAGCCATCTCAGGCACTTGGACCCATTATCTTTGACCACGTGTATTCCCCCAGCTCTCCACTATAAAACCAAGGATTGGGGACCACCATTTTGAGTCTTTGCTCCCATTTCCTGTACTTTATCCTGTTATACTAAAATAAATCCTTGCTAAAACTTTCACATTGTGAGACACCTTGAAATGCTTTTCAGCGTTTGTGGATCTCAAGGACCTGTGATTTTGCATGGAAACTGGGAAGCTGTGAGAGCCTCCTCATCCGTCCTCCAGTGGCATAAATTGGTAAGCTTGAGCCAGGAGTTGAATCTCATAAGGTATGAAAGCATGTAGCTTTGGAACTTTGCTCTTTAATCTGTCTTAGTTATGGTGGAGGTTTCTTTTACCTCTCCTACTCCATGGCCTGCCCCTGTCTCCTCTCTCAGAGTGGCTACCCCAGTGAGGACAATAGAAGTGAAGATGGATGAGGGGCAAGGGAGAGAAATCTGCTCAAGTTTCATTGTTAGTCTTCTCAGCCTCCCGAGTGACTCACAGGGTCCCGGGGTTAAAAACATAAAATCAGTTGGGAATCTAAATGGCATGTGGCTGAGGTTTGAGAGCTGCATTTCTCCTAATTCTGTCTCTAAATCTGTCTAAACTGTCTACTAACAGTTAACCCCTTTAAGTCTTGTTTCCAAGATGGGATGCTTTTCTCATTGCAGACAAGTCAAGACCAGGAGAGGGAACAGGTCAGGTCCAGGTTGCTGCAGAAGGCAACCATGGGCTGTCCCCTTCCACTTTTCTGGCCAAGACACCACAACAGCATGAGGTCAGGATTATGGACCCATGCCCTCAGCCTCATATGCACACAGGCTGGAGGGACCAGAGAGGGAATTTCAATTTTCTGTCTAAGTGTTTCTTTATTGCCTATAAATGCCCATGTGCTTAAAATTGGGACCTCAGTATTGTTGCTAAAAGGCAACAAGACAGCCCCCTTCTTGGGTTCTGTTACGGATTCAATAGGGCATTTTTTTTTTAATGATTATAAGGGGCTCCTTCCCTGAAATTAACTCCTGATGGGCTAATTCATTCTACCTTTTCCATGCTTACTAAGATAGTCAGGTATCACCAGTTTCAATGGAGATGTAGTCCCTTTTTCCTGTCCTGACATGCAGCTTCTGATTTGAAAGTTTAATACAAAGTGACCCAACACTCAGTCAACAGAAGACAAGTCTATATGGGGCACTGACACTGTATCCCTAAGCTTATAAGTGGTCTAAAAGCTGTGCTAAATCTTACTCCAAAGGGAAAAATTTAAATTAGCATATATATGACATCTATGTAGCTGTGATGCTAATTGTTACTGTCTTTAATTGTTAAGTGTACTCAAGTTCTATAAGTATTAGTTTTCTAAAATTAAAAACAGTGCCATTTAATTAAGGATTGGATATTGGTCAAAGTATATCTGTAATATAAAAAGCATATGGTAGTTTGTGGGCTTATATTCTATTAGTATAGTATGTCATTTTTCACACTAAAATAAAAGCTTTAAATATACATAAGAGATCATTTTGTATATTTATTTTGTATTTTCCTTGCAAAACTTTAACTGTTTTGTTAACATTTTGCAAAAGTAACATTTTTGATGCCTCCCCCCATCACATTACCTATAGAGCAAAAATTCAGCTTGTTTAAAAAATGGGTGCCTTATAAGCCAAGCATAAGAGCCACTTCTTCTAAACTTCTCAGTTTGCTTAAGTTGGCCACAAAAAGAGTTTTTATTGGCAGTGACTCTCAACCTATCTGACGCTTGTCCTCGAACATGGAAACATCCGGGGCACCTCATCCCTGAAACGAGGGACAATTAATATCTTTAGGAGGAAACTGTTGAGAAACAAGGGGAACGCTGTCAGAATAAAGACATGCTGGGGCATGCCTGTAACCCCAGTGATTAGGAGGCTAAAACAGGAGGATCGTAAGTTAAGGCCACCCTGGGCTACATAGTGAGTTCCAGGCTAACTTAAACCATGAGACACTGTATCTAACCCAATAGCGAAATAGTCAGTCATTCCTGCCAGCCCTTCCAAACTAAAGCCAAGAGGTCAAAAAGAATGGGTATTTTGGATAGGCAATTTAGTTAGAGATTTTATCCTTAACAAATCTATTCCATCATAATACCTCAACTTATTTTGCTTTTATTTTTTGCAAAGGTAACATTAATAATGCTGGAGACTAATAAAACTTCTGTCTAGTTCAATGTAGTATGTCAGATTCTAAACTTCTTTAGGGTCCTTTTCACACTGTGGAGCCTTACTACAGTATGCAGATGATCTTAAATTCATGGGTTTTGCAAAATACTGCTCCTCTCCACAAAAAGGTGTAGATCTCCCAACTAGCTAAATTATCTAGCCACCTTGTAACTCTAGGGAACTCTTATCCCTAAAAAGATAGGCCTTAAAATTAGGGCCACCTAAATTAACAATGATAATTAGCTTAACTTATCTGTAAATGCTGGGCCCTTTAGGATTTGGATTCCTGGCTTTCTAGGTAATAACAAAGCCCCTTTATGAGGCAACCCAGGATCTGATTTATAAATACCTGGAGTAAACTGGACAACAACAAAAAGCCCCTCAAAGCTTAAATGTTTACTGACATTTGCCCTAGCCCTAGTAATCCTAAATTTAGATAAGCCTTTGAAACTAAAAGGCAGGACATTATATTCAAAAAGGGAAAGCAATGCAGCCTGTTGCTTCCTATGGGGAAGCAAATGTAACTTATTATAGAGTAAAAGGCATTCAGGACTGTGGAGGCATTCCTCTTTCCCCTAAAGGCCTATAAATATCCCAGCTGTAAGAAAAAGTATTTAAGAGCCATAGTTCAAGGAGCATCTTTTGTTTAAGATGGCTAGTATTGTAACTGTAGTAGACACTATAAACAACTTTTACCCTTATAGAGAAAGGGATAGTGACCCTACAAGTAATTTACATTAGGCTAATGTAAATTACTCAATCCAGGACACTCCCACAACCTACCTCTTAGCTTAACCATTACCATTTAAGACAGACAATAGCTGTTTCTATAAAGGGCAGGTGTTTTCATTATTTAAAGCTATATACTGGATACATTTCCTTTATGATTCTTCTTAAAAATCCTACTAGCTTCATCCACATTAAAAAAAAAAAAATATATATATATATATATATTTACTTTAAAGGATAGTTTTCACTAATTTTTCTTTCAGTTGATGTTTCCCAGTCCTAATCCTTACAGCCCTTCAACTAAATTTTCTGCCAACTGAATTTCCTTTGTCATCTCCTAAATTAAAGATAGGAAAATGACTTTTTGGTTCCCTTTCTAGGTAGGGCCAGTGCCCAAACTCAGCTGGAAGTAGCTACAGAAGATTGGACTGTTGTCCCTCTGCACCCCTTTTAAGATTAAAAGGGACCAAAGTTGTTTAGGGGGGAAATGAGGCAGGATATATAGATGAGGAGACAGGGAAATTATATTTTAATCAATATTTAAAGGGCCAGACTCTGACTTTGGAACAAGGAGAGCCAGAGCAGCTGGCCCCCTCCCATCTCTTTTTAGATGCTATATTATAAAAACTGGGAGACAAAGAGGAGCTACCTGCTTCTGCTTTCCTCTTTGAGATGTTAAGAAGCTGCAGGGATCCTTGGATGGGTGGACAATAATCATGTCTAGGAAAGGGACGTTCTAAAGCATGCTATTGTCTCTGATTTGAGGTGTGATATGTGTAGGTGACCCCTTCCTGTCAGCCATCTCTGCCTCCCGGACCCATTATCTTTGACCACGTGCATGCCCTCAGTTCTCCACTATAAAACTAAGAGTTGGGGACCCCCATTTTGATTCTTTGCTGCATTTCCTGCATGAGTGCAGGAAATGTTTCTCTTTTTCTCTCCTCTCCCCCCCCCACCCCCTTGTCTGTACTTTATCTTGTTACACTAAAATAAATTCTTGCTAAAACTTTCACCTTGTGGGAACCCTTGAAATGCTTTTCAATGTTGGTGGATCTCAAGGACCTGTGATTTTGCGTGGAAACTGAGAAGCTGTGGGAGCCCTCTCATCTGTCCTCCAGTGACACTTCAACCACAAAGGAGTAGAAAAGCTTGAAGGGAGTCTCCTAACTACAACTGTGTTTCACTGCTGATATCAAGAGTTTGGTGGTTGTAGTACATATGTAGAATATTCTTGTTGAGCAGGGAGAATTAAAGCATTTGGAAGTGAAAGGGAAAAATTATGCTTAAATAATTCAGGGGAAAAGTTCTTTTTTAAAAAATCCTGCTAGGCCCAGTCAAGAGCCAGTGGTTCAGGCTTGTAATCCTAGCTACTTGGGAAGCTGAGATTGGAAGGATCACAGCTTGAAGTCCAGCCCATGCAAACAGTTTGTGAGATCCCCATCTCCAAAATAACCAGAGGAAAAATGGACTGGAGGTGTGGCTCAGAGGTAGAGCACCTGCTTTGCAAGCACAAAACCCTGAGTTCAAATCCCAGTCTCACAAAAAAAAAAAAAAAAAATCCTGCTCTGGGGCCAGCTTGGTGGCTCACAGATAAAGAGGATGGAGGTTAGAGACCAGCCTGGGCAAAATGTTAGAGATTCACACTCAACCAATGAGCTGCTTGTGGTAGCACCTATGATTCTAGCTATTCAGGAGGCCCTAAGTGGGAGGAGTTGTGTGTGTCTGAGGCTGCCCGAGGCAGACACTTGAGACCTGCCTGAAAAATAACTTAAGCAAAAGTTCTCAAGTGGTAGAGCTTTCAATTAAAAGCCAACAAACAAACCTCATGTTATTCATTTTTTATTGTGGTTTGCGGTTCTGGTTCTGGGTTTTTTTTCTTGTCATCCTTTAATGAATACTCAAATCTCATTTCCAGTTTTCTGGTATGTACCCCTTTATCAAATCACTGTTTTTTAAATTTTTTTTTATTTGTTTTTGAGGCAGCGTCTCCTTACACAGCAGGCTCTTGATCCTCCTGCCTAGTTTCTCAAGTGCTAGGAATGTAGCCCATGTGCCATCATACCTGGCTTAAACCTTTTTTTGTAAAGGGCCAGATAATAAGTATTTTAGGTTTTCAGGTTATATAGTCACTGCCTCATCTACTTAACTTTGCTATTGTAGTGCAAATGATCATGTCAGTGTTACAATTAAACTTTACATTTACAAAAACAATGGGTGGGGCCTGTGAACCTGAAGGCCACAGATTGCCAACCTCTGATACAAAATATAATACATTTTTTTAAATTTGCATACCCTTACCTACTTTTAGAAATTTATTTAGCTACAAGATTGGAAACAGACTAGATATACAGTTAACAGGGACTAGTTATATAATCATTACCACACTGGGGTAATATAAGGCTATGTAATCATTAAAAATTGTCCTAACTGAATCTTCCAGCCTGTGTGATTATTTCAGGAAGAGCTGGTTTAAATCTTGCCTCATCAGTCTCAAGATGTAGGACCTCAGGAAGGGAAAAGTACACTGCTAGGGGATGTGGACCTGAGCAGGTAGGTATCACCTAACAATAGGACCTCAGATATTGTGATAAATAAAACAATCTATTAAAAAAAAATCACCTGGCAATATGTATGCCAGAGGGTGGGGCACTCCAGTAAAGGCCTCAGATTTCCTCTTGCATGACTTCCATGTCCCTAGCTCAGGTTCAAAGGCACCACTCGCTCAGGAAATGACACAACTTCCCACAATCACTTACTCCTTTCTGACCTTACAGACAACCCAATTACAAAATTCCTCAAGGGCAGAAGCTATTTTTTTTTTTTTAAACCACCCTGGTTCCCCCAATTTCAATGGTAGCATACAGTCAAGGTGGAAAATGTGTGGGGCTTGATGTTAGAAATCTGAGTTGAATCCTGGCATTTTGTCATTTATGCCCTATGGGATCTCGGGTATTTTTATAATTATCTCTGAGTTCCAGGTTCTCCAAATGCAAAATAAATACAATACCTGGCATTTAGGAAGCATGGCCAATGAACAGAATTTGCCTCCCAGAGCCAAAGAGATTCAGGGGAGTAGAGCACCTTAATAAATGTTAAAAATAAGAACATCTTTAGCCGGGTGCCTGTGGCTCAGGAGGCAGAGATCAGGAGGATCTCGAAGCTAGCTGGGGCAAATAGTTCGTGAGACCCTATCTTGAAAACCCCCATCACAAAAAAAGGGCTGGTGGAGTGGCTTGGGTCTCCAAGTCTGTGAGGACAGCTAGGCCTGCCTCCACTGCACTGTCCCCACAGTCACCTAAGTCTGAGACAACACAAAGAGTACAGGACTGTACCAGGACTCCCAGGAACTAGGCTGTGCTGCATCCTAGAAGAGCCCTGCTGGGGAATGCCAGCCCTCCATACCCAGACTGAAACCCCTTTATGATAGGCAGGGAGCCCCTGGCCAATCAATCTTCAAGCTCTATTTCAAGCTTCCTGCTCACGCCACCTGTAGCCAGATGCCAAACCAGCCTGGGAGAGGGGCAGGGCTGGCCAGGGTTCCTGACAAGGAGGACACAGCTGTCCCATTCCAGAGTCACAGGTGCTATATGATTAGATTTCCCTACAAAGGCATAAGAACCCCAGGGACTGGCAGATCACATATGGGTAATTTATTTAAGTGAATTTACACTTTTACACAGGACAAGAGAAATTTTCTTACTTTTACATTAAAATCTATAGTTCTTACAGAATTTCCTTCATTCTTGCTACTGTTCTGAGCATGTAATATATCTGAGTATGTATATATCTGCCCCTACCAATCCCCCAAGACACCCATAAAGAAAAAATGCTCTAAAATATACCTACATTGCATCTGGTTTCTACAAATAAGCCATATTTGGCCACTTCCTGCCTGCCCCAAATGATACTGACTCCCAACACCCCCAACAAATCTGGACATGATCTGCTTAATCTTCTGTAGCAAGCCAAGGGGTAACCAGAGGCGGGGCGGGTGGGGGGAGAGGGGGTGAAAGCAGGACAAGGGAGCAGTACCTGAGTAGGCGTTGACTCAGCCGTCTGTATCTGAAAGTTCTGAGAAGGCTTCTGGGGCACGGTAGGGAGGGTGGCAGATGCAGCCTGTACCACCCGCAATGCCTGTTGGGGTATCTGTACCACCTGCTGCTGCTCAGCCTTGGGGGGTACTACCTGGACCTGCTGGACCACAGCTGGCTGACCCCCGCCAGGGCTCTGAACAATCAGCAGGTTGTTCCCTGCCTGGATGATGTTGTCAGCCGTGGTCTCAATCAGCACCGTTTCCACCTGCTCGGCTACAGCCACTGGTGGCTGGGAGACAGGAAGGCTCTTCTTTCTGGCTTTCTTATTAGTCTTAGACAGTGGGGTAGAGGGGCTTTCAGCAAGGAGCTGAGTAGGGGCCCCGGCATCACTGGCATTCACCAGGTTGTTGACAGGCAGGGTGAGTGTCATGTTGCTTCCCCCACCTGTCAGCTTCACCATGTTGGCCCCGCTCTGCACGGGGGTGGTGGTTGTACTGGACTTCTGGACAGGGGCTGGTTTGATAGGGACAGGTTTGTGGCTGGACGGTGAGGGGGTGATGATGGCTTGGTTGGTGCCAGGGATGATCTGGATCTGGTTGGTGAGATTGGGCTGCACCTGGATGGTCTGGGAACTGCTTGCCTGAATCTGAGGAACCGCCTGGTACTGGATATTGGCATTTGATCGGGTCCCTTTGTTGATCATGGTGGGGTTCTGGATAGCAAACACCAGCTGCCCTCCAGGATAGGAGGCACTCAGCTGTGAGCCCTGAATCTGAAGTATGTTTCCTTTGGAGGACAGGATGCCAAAGCTATTTTTGCCAGGACTGAGAGGGAGAGGAGCAGGTTTGATAGGGACTAGTTTTCGTGGAGTGGGCTGGGGGGGAGCAGGAGGTGTCACTGCAGCTTCAACAGCTGGTGGGCCAATTTTGCTACATGTTGCAGCAAGCAGGGCCAAGGGAGATGGCTGGGAGTCCTGTAAAAACCAGCAGAGGAAAGGAGTGAGATAAGAAGCCAGTGGCCAAGCCCGCACCACCACCCCCAACACACACCCTTTGTGAGCCTCTCTTCTCAGCAGCCCACGCGGTGGCTCCTGCTGGTTTCTCCATGAAGTAAGGGAAAAAATGCAGGAAGAGTCTTTCTCAGTAAGGAATTCCCCAGAAGCAGCCTCCAGCCAGGGTGAACTAACAGTGTGAACTGACTTCTTCCAACTGTGTTATCAAGTACAGTGACATACTCTAGGGGTTTCAGATAGGGTTCTGGGAGCCCACCAGAGAGAGTGAGGAAAAAACCGAGTGGCAACTGGGGGGACATAACAGTAGGGTGTCTTCTAGTGCTTGGTATGTGTGGCTCCCTGGACTGGGAGGCTGCTCTCTCAAGGCTATAGTGACAGGGCTTGCTTTCCTTTCACAGGCAGTGGGGTCTGGTGGAAGGACTACTGAGCTTAATCCTGGTCTTTCCTCCTGACCCAACTGCGGTACCTTCGGCAAATGGCCATGGCTTCTTGGTACAGAAAATGTGACTAATTGACCCTTCCTGGTTCTTGCACTTTGGGTGTTTACAGTGAGAAATTGAAAAGCGTTCTGAGTGTGGTGGGACATCCACTTCACACAGGCTGCCATTGCCCCCACCCCACCCTTACACCCCATTGTCCACTGGCCTGGGTGGTGGCAGCAGCAGGCTGCAGGTAGTCACTGGGACTGACAGCAGCAGTGGCAGCCATGCTCGTCTGTGGATCTGTTGGAAGAAAAGAGATGGAGGAATGCACAAGACAACCCAAAAGCTCCAAAGCCCCCTTTCCTGACAGTACTGGGGCTTGTACTCAGAGTTTCATACTTGCTAGGCAGGTGCTTTACCACTTCAGCCATGCCCCCAGCCCTTGCTACTGCTTCTCTAAGAGAGTTTAATGGCCTTTCCCTCACAGTGACAGCACCTGTCAGCAGACGACCTTCTCTTCTGCTTAGGCTCAGATCTCCAAGCCTGTGAGGACAGCTAGGCCTGCCTCCACTGCACTGTCCCCACAGTCACCTAAGTCTGAGACAACACAAAGAGTACAGGACTGTAATAGGACTCTCAGGAACTAGGCTGTGCTGCACCCTAGAAGAGCCCTGCTGGGGAATGCCAGCCCTCCATACCCAGACTGAAACCCCTTTATGATAGGCAGGGAGCCCCTGGCCAATCAATCTTCAAGCTCTATCTCAAGCTTCCTGCTCACGCCACCTGTAGCCAGATGCCAAACCAGCCTGGGAGAGGGGCAGGGCTGGCCAGGGTTCCTGACAAGGAGGACACAGCTGTCCCATTCCAGAGTCACAGGTGCTATATGATTAGATTTCCCTACAAAGGCATAAGAACCCCAGGGACTGGCAGATCACATATGGGTAACTTATTTAAGTGAATTTACACTTTTACACAGGACAAGAGAAATGGCCCCAGAGTCACTACCAAGACTAGGTAAAGTTAACTGAATACAAGGAGAAGAATGAAAATAAATTCCTATTTTTGTTTAAGTGTGTATATATTTCTTGGCTGGTTTGAACTTTCAGTCCTCCTACCTGTGTCTCCCAAGTACAGGGATTCAGGCATGCACTATCACACCCAGCCTTAAAGGTATATATATTTCTATATATGAATACAGCTAAATAGGAAAAAAATTAAAAAAAAAAAACCCAACAAACTAGACTATTAAAAGCCATTATCTCTTGGTGATAGAATTTTGCTTCACAAGGAATTTTTCTTGATTCTCTCGTTTTATTATAATTGTTAGTGGGTCCTCCCTCTTCACAGGTTACCTATTCATGGATTCAACCAACCACAAATGGAAATGCTTTAAAAAAAATGCTATGATTGTACTAATCATGTATAGACTTTTTTTCTTATTATTCTCTAAATAGTACAATGTAACAACATTTAACAGCATTTATATTAAGTATAAGTAAAAGTGTACAGGAGGACATACACAGGATGTATGCAAATACTACATCATTTCAATATCTGTGGATTTCAGTGTCTGCAGGGGGTCCTAGAACCAAACCCCTGTGGATACCAAGGGGCAGCTGTACTCTTGCACTTTTTTAAATCAAGGAAAATAAGGTGGAGGAAATAATGAAGGGAATCTCTATCCTGCACTTAAGTCTAATTTAAAAGTAAAACAGAAATCATGAGAATTTGGGGTAAAAGAATCTCTGCCATGTTAAGAGTTCATAAATCATTAAGGAAAAGAACACTGGGCAGAAGGTCAGACATGTTCCTTAGCCCTTTGGGAAGCAGATTCCAGGAAGTACGGACAGGCAGGATATTACTTGAGAGACTCAAAAAGACAAGCTCAGGGAATGAACCCGTTGGGCAAGACAGGACAGAGAGTAGGGAGAAGGGAGAGCCAGTTCTGCTTAAGTGGGTGCCTTCTTGCTCTGAGGAAATGATTCTTAGATGGGAAAAGGTAAAGAAATGGTGAACAGGAAACTAAGGCCCAAGGCAGGTGTACCCAGTGCCTTTAGTGGCCACCAGGCCCAAGTCCACGAAACTGCTGCAGAGCAGGGGTGTCTTTGCAGACACTGCAAACTGTGAGGAGCCAGAAGGCAGCTCCAGGCAGGTGTACATGAAGATCCTGGAACGCATGGCTGAACAGCATTGCAGTTCCTGAAGGAAGGAGTGACTGTATGCTGAAGATGTATGCTGAACAAGTCATGCTGAACAAGTCATGCTGAACATGTTTCTTCTTCATAGAGTTCTGGCTACACACATCAGGAAAATGGCACATACCGTGTATTTTGTTTCAACAAGCATCTACTGAAATTTTCATAACATTCATATTCTTGTGGATAAGAAGGGAAAAGCATGGGGGCTAAGTGAAACATGCTTCTACCTAAGTACTGAGGCAGTCAGGTGGACAGTGTCAAAAATTTGGGATGGGAACCAAGACCATGGCTCACAGGCATCACGGAGGCCTTTTTATTGTCATGTTTTCTTTGTGATGATTTCCTTTTAAAAATGAACATCTGCCACAGATCACTGGAGACTGTTGCTTAACCATGTCCTACCCATTGCAGGGCCTGTATGTTTTCAAGCATACCACTATAGCTGTGGGGGCTCATGAGGACACCTTCGCTCTGCATATATGACTCATGATATATATGTGCAAAGGAAGGGCAACATCTCTTTAGAGGTGGTAGGAGGGAGGCCTTTGTCACTTGGCACCATACACTATAGGGTGAATATGCAGAGGGTCAAGTCTGTGCCACATTTGTGCTGAAAACAGCAACTAGTTCCATCAAACACCATCTTCCCAGAATGGGGTTTGAATTTTATTGACTTTTTCGAGTTATTTAACTTTTTTTGTTTTTGCCTTTTAAGACAAGGTATCACTTTGTAGCCCAGTGGTGGCCTGGAACTCACTATATACCCCAGGCCGGCCTCAAATCCTCCTCCTATCTCAGTTTCCCAAGTGCTGGGATTACAGACATGCACCACCACGCCTGGCTTTATCTGTTAACTTTATAGGAACTAAATCAATGAGGTGACACAGATCTATGATCACACAAAATTAAGTAAAGTTGTAATATTATAATGAAAGTAATAAAAAGTCAACCCCTTTAGAGCAGTGGTGTTCAAACTATTAGACATAATATGAACCACAGTTATAAAAATAATTTACTTTAGGGCTAGGGCATACCTTAGTGATACAGCACTTGTCTACCTTGCATGAGGCCCTGAGTTCAATCCCTAGCACCACACACACACACAAACACACATACATACAAAGTAAAGCAACTTACTTTAAGACCCAGAACAATCACACACATGACATGTGCCTGTCCTGTGCTCATGCAATTAAAGTTTCCTGAAATAGCTAGCGGCATGGCTCAAGCAGTAGAGTGCCTGCCCAGCAAGTGTGAAGCTGTGAGTTCAAAACCCCAGAGAAAGAAAAAGAAAAAAAGAGAGCTGGTGGAGTGACTCAAGTGGTAGAGTACCTGCCTAGTAAGTATGCGGCCCTGAGTTCAAGCCCCAGGACCACACACACAAAAAAAAGTTATTCCAGTTTTCAATGAATCTTTAGAATGGAATCAAATGGCATACTGCCAAAAAATTAATTTTAAAAAAGGGAGAAAAAGTTTTCTGACACAAAATTGCCCTTATTTTATGTGACAGACTTTGGTATTCATTCATTTTTTGAAAATGCTGACTGTGACCTATTAAATTGGTTTTATACCCAACTGGCTAAACAACACAGCTTTAGAGTAGCATAATCTACCACCCAAGTTTGAGAAAAAAGGATCTAGAAAGTAAGTTTAAACTTGTAAATGTCACAAAACTAAGAACTATTAACAATGGGTGTCAGTATTAGGGTTCAAAGAGACCTAAAAACTGGTAGACACAATATTTAAGAGCACAAGGCTACAGAATTCTGATTGAATCTAAATGAGAATTCTGACTGCATTCCACCCACCAGTGGGCTGGCTGGACATTCTTAACCTCTCTACACTCTCTGTGAAACAGACAATGCCATCACAGGGTTTCTGTAGGCTCCAATCACTTACACAAAAGCCCTGAGTACAAGACCTGGCATATAATACGTAATATGTGGTAGTATAAAGTTTAGTAAATCCTGCACTAAGATTAAAAAACAAGTCACATGTGTGTAGGACAGGAAGACAGAGCTTAACAGTGCTTTTCATGTGGAAAAAAATTCCCAAACAGTGGTTTTGACTCAAAGCTAAATGAGAGCCAGTAGAATTGACATATGATTGCCAAAAAAGCTACTGCAATCTTGGACTGTTTCTAAAAATCCAATCACAGGACAAGAAAAATACTACTTCCAGTGTATTCTGCATACAGGGCCACATCTGGAGTGTCAGGTTCTGTTCTGAGGGACATTTCCAAAGTGGGATTTTCAACTGGAGATTGGTCAGAAGAAAGCAGCAATGGGTGTGTGTGGCCAGAGTGCCTGAGTGGGGACATTCACTAGGGTACTTATTCCATACATGGGCTCAAAGAATCAAGACTTCTACATAGCAATTTCAAGAAGGACGATTTCAGTTTGAGAGTTTAAGCCAGGCACCTGTAGCTTGTACCTATAATCCTAGCTACTAAGAAGGCAAAGATCAGGAGTCTATACTCCAGCTCAGGGGTAGAGCACTTGCCTAGCATGAGCAAGGCCTTGGGATTGACACCAAGCACCACCACCAAAAAAAAAGATTTTTATACTTTTCAGATTGTGTAGCTGATAAAAACACAAGATGAGTTAACTGCTGGCAGAGTTGGCAAGGCAGGCAGAGGGGGGTCTCCCAGGAAGTTCCCTAGAGGTTAAGTCCACTCAGATAAAGTTGGTGAATGACTCTTCCTCAGCACCCTATGTCATCAAATGGAGGGACATCAGAACAGGACAGAGTGCAAATGAAATGAAAACTGGCCCAGCACTTTCTAAACATCTCCCTCTCCCCCTGTGCAAACTGTTTAGAGACCAGGCTGGGCTCCAAGTGCTTCTTCAGTTAGAAGTTAAAGCAGAATCTATTGAGGCAAGCTTCAGACTGCCGGTGCTCCACATTGTATCATTTCAGTTTGGTTTCTTTTCTTCCCTAGCTGGCTCCTGAAATACTCCTTTGGATCAAACCACTGTATGTCTCCTACTGTCACAGAGGATTTTATGGTCCCTGGGCTACAGACCTGGTGATCAAAATACAGGACAATCTCCCTGCCATTGTAGAATTTTGTACTGGAAAGAGAAAGGGAAAAAGAGAACC